TCAACCATACAATTGTGCATTACTGAACCCAGAAGTAGTATTACTGAACCAGTGAGTTCTAGTAGCGGGTGGGGCTGGCACCCACGTGGCACCCCACGTGCCATTTTAATTTAATACTACACATAACAACTATGGATTGCCTCGTGAAGAATGAGAATTCCAGAAGACCTTATGGTGCTCATGTAGAAATTGCTCATGGACAACGAGGCAATTATTCATACAGAACAAGGGAATGTTGCATGGATTAACATCAGGAAAAGTACATGTCCGAGTTTTACCCTTTCAGCATACGTATTCAATCTGGATACGGAACAGATAACTCAAGAGCTGGGCCACATAAAGAGTTGTGCAGCAGGCCTGATGGATGGCTCATTAGCCAACTGCCCCATGCAGATGACACATCCTTGCTAGTTGAAAGCCTAGAGGAATTGAAGCACTTACTAAAGATCAAAGACTGCGGCCTTCAGTATGGCTTGCACCTCAACATAGAGAAAACAAAAATCCTCTGCACCAATAGACAACATGATGATAAACGAAAAAATAATTGAAGTCATCAAGGACTTCTTTTGTCTTGGCTCCACATCAATAACGGAAGCAACCGTTAAGAAATCACGTGACATACTGCATTTAAAGGGGTAATGAGTAAGGATGTCATTTTGAGAGCTGACCTGTGCCCTCGTGATTTCAATCACCTCACATGCATGTGAAGTCTGCACAATGGATAACGAGGATCAGAGAAGAACGGAGGCATGTGAATCATGGTGTGGACAAAGAACCCTGCAATTACCATGGACGGCCAGGACAACCCAGAACTCTGTCTTGGACTGTCGGAAGGCTCCTGAGAGGACAGGATGGCAAGACTGTCTCAGATACTTTGAACACATTTCCAGTCCTTGGGAAAGGACATGCTGCTTGGTCAAGCAGGGGATCCATGAACAAGCAGCCCGTCAAGGAGCTGGACAGACCCAGGGGTTGTGAAATGGGCTCCCACATAGCAAGGGAGAGGACAATACAGGATGGGCTGGCCTTTCATCCTTTTAGACTGGGAGCCTTATGAGTCAGAGCCACTGGTTGCTACATAGCAACAACTATAAACATACATATTATAAACACAAATGAAAAAGGAATTGCTGTCAATGCCAGCTCATGGCTTGGAGTCGAATTGGGCTCCAGAGGGTTTTCAGTGACTGAGCCTTTGGAAGCAGGTCACCAGGCCCTTCTCCTGAAGGCATCTCTGAAGGGGCTTGAAGTCAGCCAGCCATGTTCAATTTCAGTGCCCAAGCTGCTCCACACTTTTCTTGCTATTTTTTTGGTATCAGTTAAAGCTACATTGCTTCTCTGGACTTGAAGTTTTCACCTTAGGTCAGGAGGGCTGTAACCTGGCAGAGCCCCGAGGGCTTTAGGAGGTTGTCTTTCTCAAATGTGAAATTGGCCCTGCGGCCCACTGCCCACCCTGGTGGAGGCGTGGCCATGGGTGCCCTACCTGCCCGCTGTAAAGCAGCTCCCATTGGCAGCACCGATGGTTGAAAACGCCACAAAGAGTGGGACCACCCAAGAGGCGGGGTAGAGAACGCGATCCCCAAACGTCTGGTGAGAGAAGCGAGATGAATCGTCAGGGTCTGCCCTGGGCCCCAGGAGTCCCTGAGCCTCAGAAGCCACTGCCTGCTCTCAGAGGGGCTGGGTCCCCACAGCCCCACTTGGGGCTCGGCCTCAGACTCCTCTCGTGGTGAGGAGAGAGGAGAGAGCCATGTGGAAGGAAAGACCTTCGCCTTTTCTCTCTCTTCAGAGTGTCTCTGGATCTTCTGATGGTACCAGAAATCTTTAAGCCACTTCTCCCGGCCATAATTCTCAATCCTGTACGTTTCCTTCCACTCCTGTAGCCTGGCTTTCTCTCCCTCCTCATTCTCATAGACCTCATTGTACCTCCAACTACATTCCCTCCAACAGCCCATCCTGATCCCTCATTCCCTATTTCCACCCCCTTCCCTGTTGTACCCCAGTTCTGTCAGGCCTCTCGTTCATGAACCCCTCCACCTTGTCCGCTGTCCCTCATGCCCCCCCTCTCGTCCTCAAGTCTCTTTCTTTAAATCCCACAGACTGTTCTTACAACCAAGGAGCCTTGGTGGTGCCGCAGATGGTTAAGCGTTGGGACTGTAAAGTTGGTGGTTCAAACCCACTAGCCGCTCGCTCCTCAGAAGAAAGCTGAAGCTATCGAGTCCCTTAAATATTCACTCCTTTGGAAACACCACATAGGGTCCCTATGAGTTAGAATCAGCTCAATGGCAGTGATGGTATTATCATCACCTCCTTCAACTTCCTTGCACTTTCTCTCTCCCTCGCACTTGTCCATCAAACTCCCAATGCAGGTGAAACCCAGCTCTTCTCTCCACCTCTACCTGCTGAGGGTCTCACAGATGTTTCTGGTCTCTAACCTGGGGTTGAAGGTGAGGGGAGGTTCTTTGGGACAGCTCTAACCTTCCCACTGTCCTAACCTCCTGGAATTTTATCCGCACGGCCTGTCCTATCCTGTGAGGCATTTCACCTTGCCTGGTCCCCCTCTCAGGAACCATACCCTCCCACCAGCACCCCTGGCCCCCCCCCAGCAGAGACCCCGGGGGGCACTCACCACAGCCACAGCCGGGGACTGCAGGAGTTCAGTCGTGGTCATCACCGTGAAATAGGCAACGTTCATGAGGATGTAGCACACCGTCACCAGCGGGATCCCAATGACAATGGACAAGGGCAGGTTCCTGGGAGGGTCAGTGACACAGGAGGCCGGGGTCAGACAAGGACATCCAAAGAGACTCCTGAGATTGTGGTTTTATCTGCCCTGCTCTCCCACCCTCCCGAGTCTGCCCTCCACATGTTCCCTGTGTTGGGCTCAGGTTACAGATGCCCTTTGCAAGCCCCCCCTCCCCCCCCCCCCAACAAGGTAGGAGCTTGTGGAATATTTTCTATGAAAAACTCTCATAGAGAGTAAACTCTCTAGTGCAGTGAAATGCAATTTTTGTATGAAACAAAAAGCCAGAACTAAAGGGGGGTCCCTGGGAGGGTGTCAATGGTCAATGTGCTTGGCTACTAAATGAAAGGCTAAAAGTTCAAGTCCTCCCGGAAGCACCATGGGAAAAAACCCCTGCTGATCTTTCCCCCCAAATCAGCCACTGGAAACCCAATGGAGTTGGAATCACGTCTAGGGTGTGTGGTTTTTAGGGAAGTTCTTGGTCTGCGTTCACCTTAGCAGCCTCCCCACAGCCCAAAGCAAACCAGACTCTAGGCAGTGTATGATGGCTGCACAAGAAACCTGCTCTCCCCCACTTGTCCGGGAGCGGGTCATGACGTTATGGGAAAGCAGTTCCACGCTTTTTTTTTTTTTTGCCAAGAGAAGAGAAATACACTTGCGTGTTTATTGCCTCCTGCCTGACTCAGCTTTGTTACCTGAAAGGGTTTTTAAGTTCTTCTGTGATATAATTGAGTTGATTCCTGGAGAGAGAAAAATCGCATGAGTATGAGCACATGATGCTAAATGAAATAACATTGTATGATCCTATTTTTATAAGAATATGTTTCTATATACAGAGACCAGAGTTCATCAGTGTTGAGGGAGAAGTCACTGTAGCTCACAGAGCCTTGGTTGTTGTCTTGGGTGGTGGGAAAAGCAGCACTGAATGGGGGTGTGGTAAGGTCAGCTCGACCAAGGTCAACGGTGTCCCTAGGAAGTATCCAAGAGGAAAAGATGTTTGTGCTAAAGAATTTGGCAACCCGATCAACAATAACCACAGGCTGAGTGTATGATCACAACTATATGTCTAGGCATCTATGTGTATATGTAGTTATAGGTGTGTACATACGTGTGATCATATCTAAATGTATATATGTTTCTCCAGATATGTGTGTGCTGACATATATATTCACAGAGGACACAGTTTCATATATTCCTCAGGTATAACCAAAAATCTTACAAGATTGGGTTTCTGGGTTTAGACATAGGGCCTTCGTGTTCTGCCTCCTAGTGAGGTAAGCACTGTCCGGGGTCTGTCTGCAAACAGCCACCTCGACACAACGACTGCTCCCTCTCATGGGAGCCAAAGAGGGAGGAAGCCTGAGACTGGAGCAGGAACTAGTGTGCAGCGAGGAGTCCGCACGCAGCCCGGCTTCACTCCCCTGAGCCCAGCAGGCCTCCATGGTGCCCACCTACCACTGCGGGCCCGGCAGCGACACTGGACGGAATCGGAGCAAAAGGGGACCAGCACCTCAAAGGCTTTACAACAAGGAAACCAACAAACGACAGACGTCCGGACCCGTTGACTCTGGAGGCCACTCAAGGCTTATGCCCTGCCCCACTCTTCATTAGCTAAATTAAATGGACTCATTAAGAAAAACCACCTGTGAGTGCAGTGCTTCTTTACAAAGTCCCCCATGTGAGATGAAATGGTCACCGATGCCTTGCAATCAGAGACGGGAATAGAGAGGCAGGGAAGCCGGATGAACAGAAACGCGTGAACGGCGGGGACTGAAATAGAGGACGTTCACATGTGTGAAGACGGTCACCAACGTCCGCACACACCTTGTGTCGCCAGCGTCGACTGGGGACCCAAAGTGTGTGTCAGCCTCTGCTGAAAAGACAAGATGCTATTTAAGAAAAGGAAAAGATGCTTCCCATTGAGAGAATTCTCCTGCAGCAACCCCAGGGGGATTTCTTGGGTGTCTTTCATGGGAATGGCATGAATTTTCACGAATAATTGGGGGTGGAAGGAGAATAATTGGGAGTAGTGAATGGCCAAGGCAGTTTGAAAACGGAAAGATTCTATGCCTGAAGAGGTGTTGAAATTCAAAGCCGCTGTGGAAGAAGCTCAAAACCACCAGCCGCACCCGGCGAGGCAGATGGGCCTTTGACCCCCACAGTGACCGTCTGGGAGACTCCCAGGGGCAGCTCTGCCCTGTCTGACAGGCCCCTAAGTGTCGGCATGAGCTCAACGGCAGTGGCCTTGGCTTTGCTTGATTTTTTCTTTTTCTTTTTCTGTAGAGGAGAGAAAGACTCCTGCCTCAGACAGCCACGTTTCTTTCAAAGACAGACCCTCATGTGGAAACAGAACATGGAATGAATAGCATGCTGGTCCAGTGTTAGGGCAGCCTGGCTGCCTCCACCTCTGCCCAGCCTGCCGTGGCCCAGTGGACTCACCCCGGCACCCCTCAGGGAGAGGGCAGTGACCTTTGTGCTCAGAGGGGAGGCAGCAGGGTGAGGGCACTGGTGCTTAATTAAAGGGAGGTGAGACGTTGCCTCTAGGCCCCAGAAAGCAGAGCGAAGCCGTTGCCTCCCACGTGGTTTACAGTAAAGATGCTGAAGGAAGCCCTCCACCCCGAGACTGGAGCCGGTGTTCCGGGCGTCTTACCATCCGTCGTAGGCCCAGAGGCCATTATAGAATGCCAGGCTGATGGCTCCCACAGTCACTTTCGAACCCTCAAAAGAATTCTCGAAATTCTTTGTGTTTCCTGTAATCAAGTCAGACAGTGACCAGCTGACCAGACCTGGACTGTGCACGCATCTTCATGGGACAGAGACTCGGGAAAGCGGGGAAGGAAGGATTCTTTCTGGGGGTTCTTGCTAAGTGACCAGAGCTAGGCTAGCTGAGCAAGAATGCGCGCTGGGGAGACAGTCGCCTGTGCCTGTGCAATGCCCGCCTGCCCCGCTGCCTGCTGCGCCGGTCACCTTGGGCCAGGAGGACCATGCCGCTGATGATGATGATGGCCACGATCACCAGCTTGGCCGCCGTGAAGATGTTCTGCACGTAGCTCCCCAGCCGCACGCTCAGCGCGTTCACCGTCGTGATGAGCACTGAGAGAGGAGTCAAAAACGAGGACCGGTTGATGTTTATGGGGTTCAGCCTCACCCTCCTTCCTGGAGGCTCTGGAAAGACGCTTCATAAGCATCGGGCTGTTAACCCCAATGGCTAGCAGTTCAAAGCCACGGGCCACTGAGCATGAGAAACAGGAGGCTGGCTGTTTCCCTCACGATGTACAGTCTCAGAAAACCTGTCTAGGGTCGCTCAGTCGCAGCCGACTGGTGGCCGTGGGTGGCTCTCGAGCAAGAGTCTAATTTCCGTTTCCAGCTCGGCCTCCTCGCCACCTCCCACGACTAGCACCTCATCCAACTGAATGCTGAGGGCAGAGCCAAGCAAAGTGCTGTAAAGCCTTTAAGACGCACCTGATGGTGACCTTTGAATCCGGCAGGCCCTCCTTGGGGCATACTGGAGACGCAGCAGGGCCCGCGGCCAAGAGTGCTGCCCGGGAGCTGCGCC